ACAACCTTAAACAAATACTTCACTGATTCAATGAATGGAATCAAAATTCAGATTACAAGGGGAGGGAGGGGCTCCCCTGTGGAGCGTGAAGCAGCGTCATGAGTAAGACTTTTCTCATCTCTTCCTCAGAGCCCAGGTTCTAGGCGCTGCTGGAATGACAGAGCTTGTTTCTCAGATTCTTTGCTTCACGGTAGCTCCTGACTGTACATCATTTTGACTAATCATCGCACTGTCTCCAATCTGGGGGACATAATAAGAATCAATGATGCTTTAATTATGGTCTCTCTTGGCTCTGTAACAGACTCATTGAGGAGTGGAAACTAGAATTCCATACGTATTCTTATTTTGCTATATATAAATGTAAATTTGGTCTCCCCTCTGGAGAGACCTATCCTAATTTTTTATTTTTTAAAATTATCTTTAAGTAGTCATACAAAGGAGTCACCATATAACAAAGCAGTATATGATACAATCTATCTTCACCAATGTCGCCCCTTTCAATTCTCACCTAGGCCTCCCTTACCCCCGCCTGCCTTAATTTTATCCTATTGAAAGAACTTGTTTATTCTTAATGCTTCTCTGCCTCTACCCGATATGACATGAATAAGGCTGGTTGATGAAGCCTTATTTACATAGCTCATTACTTTACCTCTGTTTTCTGGAAAAGCCAAATAACACACAAATCCTCCAATCCCTGCAACAGCAAGCAGTCACTCCCACATACGGCGGTACCCTAGACTGCCTCATTATCAAGCCTCACAAGGAGTTCTAGCTACGTGCAACAAGTTCAAGGCAGCATATGCGTGGCGGGGGAGCCTAGGCATGCTGGTACGGGGCAGTAGAACCAACGTTTCTTTCCTGAGAAGCAGAGAACCTTAAGAATGAAAGAAATGGATGAAAAAAAAAACTCTGTGCAATCTATAATCGTACTTTGCTTGGATGAGCCAGTATTTATAGCCAATAATTATGTAAATGGTGGTGCAATGTACAATGTACAATCCTAGTGCATCTGTCAGGGCCCATAATTCTAGACAGTGATTACTCAAATGTTGTTTGTTGCTTCTTTTAACTTTCTTTTGTGATACTGAACTCACCATTTGCTAGACAAATGCTCTACCACTTGAGCCATAACCCCCAGTCACTTTTTAAACAAACTTTAAATACTGCTCTATTGTCAAAGTGTGGAAATTTGTCAATGGTTATCAGAAAGGAATAAAATGTTACTACTGTAAGAAGTGAAAAAAAAACAGGAGAAGGTATAGTGAGCTGTAAGAGGAAAGAGAAGGAGGGAGAGCAATTGGGAAGGTATCAACCCATGTTAGATGTGTTGATGGGAAGGGGAGAGGTAATGCCTAAGTGGTACAGAAATATACTTCAATGGTTTAACAACAGTGTTCCATAGAGGAACCCCAAAGGGTGCTATGCCTGTTTTTTGAGTTGTGATCTAGATTAACCAATCTTTAAATATGGTAGCTGTAAGTCAACGGATGGCATTAAGATGGAAAGATCTAGATTAAAGGGTGGGGTGTATTTTCTAGAGATGGGGTATCTTCTAGAGATGGGGTATCTTCTCTATGTGAAATTGGAGGATAAAACTGCCAGGCGCATGCGCAATGGTTGCCTCAAGAAAAGAATGAGGCTTAGCAGGAATGGACAGGAGAGAGGAGTTGTTTCCCCTTAGGCCTTCCTAGCTCCTTTGGTGATTTGGATGAAACACATTAAAGAGTAGACAATGCTTCATCAGAGTGCACACGGATCAATTTAACAAGATTATCTTCTAACTCGTTGAGAAGCAGGCAAGCAGAGTGAGCTGACATTTGGTGAAGCATTTTGTAGCACAGTTAGGTGGTTGGTCTTACCTTGGCAGGCCAGGAAAGCAAGAGGAGAAGAGATTTCACACACAACGGGTGTTTGCTAAGGAGAAAAGGTGTGAAGCAGGTGAGTTCTGGCCAGGACAGGGGCCATCTAGCATCAGCCACAATTCCAACATTCCTATCTGCAGGGCAGGCCAGACAGATAATGCCTGCCACAGGCCTCCATGAACAGCCAGTGCCCCCTCCCATGCCCTGTGGACTCAGAACACAGGAGAAGGAATGGGGGAACCAGGTCAGCTGATCAGAGCTTCACTGAGTTGTTTCCACACCCACTCCAGTGCCTCTTCCACGGAACCTAGACCTGGCTCAAAGTCAAAAGTACATCAAGTGCTTCTTCAGCTACAACTTCCTCAAACCACATCTACATAGCTTAGGGTAAGACAAGCACTAAATATCTACAAAAGGCAGAGCTATGATCTACTTTTTATTTTTCTTTCTATAAATACTGATTCTCTCGACTCCTTTCTGTTCTTCCTCTGTGAATTCTGTTTTCGTTGGTCTTCTAGACTTGTTCTATGTATAAACCTAAACACTTAAAACATTACTTCAAAGGGCATTCTCTTGAGCCCTAAAAATCCTCCATACCAGCTGGATACAGTGGCTCATGCCTGTATTCCCAGCTACTTGGGAGGCAGACAAGGATCATGGTTGAAGCCAGACAAAAAGTTAGTGAGACCTTATTTCAAAGATAAGCCACATGATAGTTTGCAATTTTAATGGTCTGAGGTTGATATGGGCAAAAGCATGAGCCCCTTATCTGATAAATACCTAAACTTACTGGGGGTGTGGCTCAAGTGGTAGAAGGCCTGCCTGGTATGTGAAAAATCCTGAGTCAAAACCCCAGTACTGCCCAAAACAAACAACAAAACAAATGCCAGCACACCTCACAAAGCAAACCCACACTGGCATGTTTTCATCTTCTTCCATCTAATTTCAGTGAGAATCAGGCCTCCAGCATATCATGACAATCTGTGAGGCTGCGAGCTGACACAATTCTAGAGAACAACGGTTAATGGTAAGTCAGCATAGTTCTAATTTACACTTCTCTTTTGAGTAAAGTTCAGCACCCCGTAGACGCCTGAGCCATTTTCTGTCTTTGAACTTTGCCCCTCAGTCTATTTTCTGTGATTATAATAAAAATATCTAAGACTGGAGTTTATTAGATGTTTATTTGGTTTGCACTGGTAGCCTCTGGAACAATAATTTTGCCTCTACCTTTCCAATTCTGGACTTCTGATTTTTTTTTCTGGTCTAATTGTATCCAGTACAAGTTGAATAATAATAAAAAAAATAGGCCCCAGTGGCTCACTCCTGTAATCCTAGCTACTCAAGAGGCTGAGATCTGAGGGGTGGCAATTAAAAGCCAGCCTGGACAGGAAAGGCTGTGGGACTCTTATTTCCAATTAAACATCAGCAATCTGAAAGTGGCACTGTGGCTCAAAGTGGTAGAGTACTAGCCTTGAGTGAAAAAACTCAGGGACAAAGCCCAAGCCCTGAGTTTAAGCACTACAATCCCCCCTCACCAAAAAGAAGGCCACCCTTTCTTTGCTTTATTCGACTTCTTTACTGGTCCCTCTTTCCTTGTGGAGTCCATAGCAACACAGTGAGTGGATGTTGAACCCTGGCGTGGTACTCATACATCATGATTTTTCTTTTTTTCTTTTTTTTTCGGGGGGGGGGTCTGGTTGTGGGGCCTGAACTCTGGGCCTGGGCGCTGTCCCTCAGCTTTTTTTTTTTCTGCTTATGTCGTGCTGAGGAATCGAACCCAGGGCCTCATGCATGCAAGGCAAGCACTCTACCACTGAGCCACCTTCCCAGCCCACATCATGATTTTTCTTGGTACACACTTATGACGGCAGGCTCTTTCTTGATACTGAATTTCACTCATCACTCCTCTCATTATGAACTGGAATAGAGCTCACTGAACATCAGCCCTGAAACAGTGCATAGCCCATCTGAAAACAGAGATCTCCGTGAATGGAAAACCAAATTATTCACCTCCTGGGAAGGACGCACAGACCGTGGCCTTTCATGTGTGCTACGTAGGCTGGAGTGCACTTCAAATTACTGATTATTTCTGTAAATTTCTGCCTGATAATTTTGGACTATGCTTGACCTAGGAAGCTGTAACTATGGTAATCGAAACTGCTGATAAGGTGAGATATTGGATTTGGGACAGATTTTCATTTTCAATCTGGGGAGTGAACCTTGGGATTGAAGTGTCTTGGAAATACAAATCTTGGATCCATATTACTTTTGTCCCATGGTAGATGGTTCAATGTAACCCCCAACCTCCAGGTTTGCTGAGGTAATGTTCGGCACAAGTCCATCAAAACCTTGAACTTTTTTTTTTTTTTTTTAGTTCAGTCATGGGGCTTGAACTCAGGGCCTGGGCACTGTCCCTCGGCTTCTTTTGCTCAAGACTAGCACCTGAGCCACAGTGCCACTTCCAGCTTTTTCTGTGTATGTGGTACTGAGGAATCAAACCCAGGGTTTCATGCACTAGGCAAGCACTCTACCACTAAGCCACATTCCTAGCCCAAGCCATGAACTCTTTAAGAGCTTGCCTAACATGAATGTGGCCTTGTATTTAATCTCCAACACACACACACACACACACACACACACACACACAAAACACCAAAAACTGGATTTAATTCCCTCATGTGTTTTTTCATAAACACTGTTAAACATTCTGGAAATACCTTCTACAGTGTTGTTTGTTTGTCTTTTAAGATATCAGACAGACACAGCCTTCCAATGCCTCTCTGGGGCTACGGAGGGGAGAAGCCCACGGCCTCTCTCAGTCCACCGGGTGTGAATGACAGACACACAGGAGCACCTGGAGCCATTCCTGAGGTAGAGTTTCAGCACCACGGCACAGGATGAAAAGCTTTCCCCCAAAACGCGATCAGATGATCAAATCATAGCTTGGCATCTAACAGTGCAATTAGGATGAAAGGGACCCCTGGAAATGGGGCCAAAGCTTGCCATCCTCTCAGGGAACTGTGAGCTGCAGTGGGAACACACCCACCAGAAGAGTAAGAGGGGTGGCACTCGTGATAAAGCCTATATAGACCCTAGAACATCCTCTGTTCACTAGTAGAGAACAGAACTGCAGGATGGCGGGAGTTGGCTTGTTCTTCTAAGTGATCAGGACTAGAATTTTCCAGCTAACCATTGTTTGTGGGGGTCCCCACATGGGTTGTTTAAATGAGATGGGCCCTACTGACTCCGCTGGTGGGTGCACAGCCATCAGGTTGAGGGCAGATGTTTGGTTGTGGCTTTGCGAAGGTCATTGGAAACTGGACTTGCAGAGTGAGCAGGTCACGCTGTCCGTCTCAGGTCTTGCCCTTCCATCCCATGACTCTGCAAAGCACTGTGCTTGACGAGACTGGGTCAGAGCTTCGTGGACAAGGTGTGACTGGACTCCTTTGAGTGCAGCTCAGCGGGGCTCTGAGCTGTGGCCGGGCTTTGGGCTTCTTTTTGCCATCTGGCGGTGTAGAGAACGTACATGCTCCTCATCAGGAAAATGCCAGCGATGACGGCAAAATAACTCCCGTAAACTAAAAACTGGACACAAACAAATCATTACCCTCATCACCTCAGTCTCTGGCAATGTATAATCAATTAGGTTGGAGGGCTTGGATTACAGGTTAACTGAGACTCAGGATTTTAATGACCCAGAGGGCATTTAGATTGCGCAAGTCTCTTCTGAGATAGAAGAACAGGTGAACAATTCAAGGATAGAAAGCCATGGCTTTGTAGCACACTGCCTAGATTCAAGGCCTAGCAGCAGTAAGAAATTCAACCCTACTAAAGCCCACTAATGTCTGGGTGTTTGTGTTTGGAGGCTGGTACGATGCCACAATACATTTTTGTTGTTGTTGTTTGTTGTTGGTCGTGGGGCCTGAACTCTGGGCCTGGGTGCTTTGCCTCAGCTCTTCAGCTCAAGGCTAGCGCTCTACCACTCGAGCCATAGCACCACTTCTGGTTTTCTGGTGGTTTACTGGAGATAAGAGTCTTACAGACTTTCCTGCCTAGGCTGGCTTTGAACCACGATGCTCAAATCTCAGCCTCTCCTGAGTAGTTAGGATTATAGGTGTGAGCTACTGGTACATGGCATACAATGCATTTTAGACACTAAGATGATTACTAACCCACAACTTTGCAGATCAATGTTGACCCAGCTGTCACAACTGCTCAAAACCTACTTCAGGTTCATATTATTAAGGAATTGCATATTTAAAACGTTGCTTTAGTGGAGGAACTCAGGCAATGTAAAAATAGTGTTTGTTATTTTAGGAGAAATCCTGGATTCTACCTCCCCCACCTGACAGTCACTCTGGGGGCTTACCTGAGTGCCAACAGGCAGGTTGAGCCCTCTCTGGTCGACTACAATCACAGTCATGATGGTCTGAATCACCAAGGCAAGAAAGGTGTTTATTCCAAACACCAGGGCATAGCGTTCCACACTGAGGTTGATGGCAATCTGAAATCTATCGTGAAATGTTGAGTAAACATTTAATTAACCATAATGTACAGGAGATGCTTGTCTTTACAGGGCAGACACGGCTGTGCGTTGGTGGCTCACGCCTGCACCCCCCAGCTACTCAGGAGGCTGAGACCTGAAGATTACCCTTCAAAGCCAACCTGAGTTCAAGCTCTGAGTTCAAGCCCCAGGAACAGTGCACACTGCTTGTCTAATTCTCCTTCAGCAGAGACAATAAGACAAAGCAAAGCAAAACAAAGACTATAAAGACTGAGTTAGCCAGGCCCTGGTGGCTCACACCTATAATCTTAATGATTCAGGCTAAATAGCTACTTTGGTTAGATCTGAGGATAGAGGTTTGTAGCCAGCTTGGGAAGAAAAGTCTGGGAGACTGTTAACTCCAATCACCCACCAAAAAGCTGGAAGTAGAGGTGTGGCTCAAGTGGTAGAGTGCCAGCCTTGAGCTGAGTGAGAGTATGAGGCCTTGAGTTCAAGCCCCAGGTAACACACACACACACACACACACACACACAAAACACACACACACACACACACACAGAAGCCAGGCATGTAATCTCAGAACTTGGGTAATAGAAGCAGGATAATTTCAAGTTCATAGCCTGAATCATACAGCAAAACCTTCTCTCTCAAAAAAAACAAAACAAAACAAACAAACTTCATAGCCTGAATTATACAGCAAAACCTTTTCTCAAAAAAAAGTAACACAAACAAACCTCTAACAACCAATTGACCAGCCAAATGCCAAACAAAACTTAACAAAGCTTATCTCTTCTTCTTTCATGCAACTTGCAATTTAAATTTTTAGTTTTTAATCTGTTTAGTTAATAAAGTCCAATTCATCTTTGGCTACGTTTACTTCAATCAATGCTTTTTAGTAACACTTCCCCCCTCCCCCCATATTCTTTTTTTTTTTTTTTGGGTCAGGTCGTGGGGCCTGAACTCTGGGCCCGGGTGCTGTCCCTCAGTTCTTCAGCTCAAGGCTAGTGCTCTACCACTTGAGCCACAGCGCCACTTCCGGCTTTTTTCTTTTTGCTTATGTGGTGCTGAGGAATTGAACCCAGGGCCTCATGCATGCAAGGCAAGCGCTCCACCACTGAGCCACCTTCCCAGCCCCCTCCCCCCATATTCTTTTATTTGCATCAACCAGTTGTACGCATGCTTTCATCCTGACATGTCCATGTATACCCCCCATATCCCCTGATCAGACCTCCATCATTCTCCCTCACGTCCCCTCTTACTTGGAATAATTTCTAAAAGTGATCCCTGAAAAAGATGCATATGTGGCAGAAAATCCTGAGTCCTGGAGATCTTCCTTAAAAAAATGATTAAAACTCATTCAATTCTATGCCCAAGAACAACACAGCTTATCTTTATCTTTTTTAGTATTGTCCAGCTTTTTGTAATTTTCTTGAAAATATAGTTGTTCACAGAAGAGTATGTGCTTAGTTATTTACACAACTACATGAAATTAACGCTGGAGTCTAAACGTAATATTCAACATTAAATCACATCACAACCTGTTGTGGAAAACTGTGGCCAGTAATGATTCAAAACCTAACAACACATGATTGCTTTTGGTTTATATATCCCCCAGACTTTCTTCCCTGATGGCTGAATCTTTAATGATATTCAACAAGGGCAAATGGTTAAATGAAAATACTGCTTCATGGCATTTAATTCAAAATAAATAGTTCCCATTTAATATTGCTTGGGATGGGTCTGATAGCATACACCTCTAATCCCAGCACTTGTCAAACTGAGGCAGTAGATCCTCTAGTTCAAGACCAGCCTGAGCTACATAGAGAAACCTTGTCTCAGAAACACCATACAAAAGTCTTCCTGTTGCTCTGACAGGGAAAAAATGATGGCTAATACTTACACAGCAATGGTTATAAGAAGCATGTAGCTGGATTTGAATACCAAATAGCCGGCATAGCACAGCCAGATGCTGAGTGTGTAATGCATGAGAAACAGAGCGCCTGCATTGACAACTGAGAAGGTGGCCAGAGCCAGCTCTCCCAGGAGATCCCAGTTGACGTCCAGGTACCCCACTGCGAAGGCAGCCACGGAACCTGAGAACAAAACACAAAGGAGCACCAGACATCAGGTCTCAGGCTGGGCATGGTAGTCCACTCCTGTAATCCTAGCTACTGGGGGAAGCTGAGATCTGGAAGACCATAGTTCAAGGCCAGTTCCAGGCAAGAGTGAGATCCTGTCTGCAAACATAACTAAGGCAAAAGAGGATGAGCGTGTGGTTCAAGTGGTAGAGAGCGTACCTAGCAACCATAGAGCCCTGAGTTCAAGTCCCAGGATTCTCTTGCCACACCAAACCAAAATCAAAATCTGTTCAGGCAATTCTAAGGAAAAATATATTGCTTTCACAAAAAACAGTGTGTTCTACTTAAGGGACAATCTATCCTTTTTTCCTTCCAGATTTTCTTCGTTTTTAGTTCCCTATCTTTTTCAGTTACTTACTTGTCACACTTTTTGGCCAGCCAGAACAACAATATCATGACACCTCCACGTATGCAGGAACAGGATGAGAAGGATGAATTAAATGCCCAACACCGCTCTCTCATGACCCCTTTAACAGAGTTTACGGGAAGCTCTTCAGTGGTTGCATGGAGTAGCCAGGCTTCGTCTTTACTGTTAACTTCCACTTTAGAATCGTCAAGATCTGACCTACTTTCCCCCTCCCACACTCCAGTCCTCCCTTCCTTCCTCCCTCCCTTCCTTCTCTTCTTTTCCTTTTCTTTCTTTTTAAAGACAGGGTCTTGTTTATATTCCCAGATTGGCCTTGAGCTCCAGGTTGAAGTTACCAACCTCCCCACAAGTTGGAACTACAGGTGTGTACCACTGCACCCAGAGAAGCTAATTTTCTTGAGGCGTGGGGCAAAAAGATCTATATTGATTGACAGAGTTTAAGAGGCTGAATGATACTAGTTAATGTTAGTAATTATAATATTTTTCTTAAAATGAAAGTTGTTCAGTTACTTACTTGTATTGACAATGGGTCTATTAACTTTTCTCCATGTTTTCAGGAAAGGGCTGGGTTTACATAGGACCCTTTCTGTGCCCCCCAAATTTGGAATGTCGGAGCATCACTGCAACGAAACAATTCTGGCACAGTCCTTGTTTTCAGAAGTTAACCTGAGGTCAACGCTCCCGCCCCCCACCCCAAAGGGAGACAAGAACACCACAGAAGCCACGTCTCCTGAAACTTTGTATGTGGGTGTGGAACGATCTCACTTCCTAAAATTTAAAAAAAAAATTCTTCAAAGTTTCACGTGACGTGTAAGTTTCTATTTACTAGAATGTAAATATTTAGTGTAGAATGGGCTTCAAAGGCACATTTCTCTTCTATTAGACCTCTGCTCTCACCCCCCGGGGAGCTCTTCATAAGAAAGCCACTACTGTGCAGCCTAGGGTTGATGAGGTCAGTCAGAGCTTGATCATTACTAAGACGCACCAGGTAGCCGCTCACCTGAGGCTCATGTCTATAATCCTAGCAACTCAGGAGGCTGACATGTAGAAGATTGTGGTTCAAAGCCAGCCAGGGCAAAAATAAAAATAAAAAAGTCCACAAGACTCCATTTCCAAAATAACCACCAAGAAGCCAAGGAGCTTAAGTGGTGGAGTACAAGCTGAGCAAGTGTGAGAATTAAAAAAAGGCTACCGCAAAAGACCCTGTAAGGTGAGATTTTGGATGTCTTCAGATATTTCCTAAAAGAATAAAACCTCCTTACAAACTCTGAAAGAGCACATGGTCAATAACAGTCTTAATGAGGAAAGAGAATCTTAGAGATTCCACTAGAACTTAAGTTGTTTGGTTCTAAGCCCTGAGCTCTTGAATAACTCATAAATATAGAAATATAATACATTAAATAAAAGATCTTGTGTTTTGTGGCATTCTATTTTTCTAGTGCCCTCCATTTTTTTTTCCTTTTGCTGTTTTTGATGGTACTAGTGTTTGAACTAAGGATTTCAAACTTGCTGGGCTGGCGCTCTTAACACTTGAGCCACACCTCTGACCTAGTTTGTTTTTTGCCAACTATTTGGAGATGGAGTATAGTGAACTTTTCTACCTTCGTTGGACTCAATTTTGTGATCCTCCAGATGTCAGCCTCCTGACGATCTATGAGTCCCACCTGAGCCCTCTATCCTGAGAAATAAATGATTGTGTCTTCTGAATCAAGGTGAATTACGACACGGAGAAGCTAAGCTCGTTGCAGGAAGTTTAAAGCAGTGTTCACTTACCTCCAAACGTGGCGATAGCTTCCACCGCCCCATTGTAGATGGAGGAGTTGTGAGATGGGGCCTTGTCATCCCACAGGAGTTGAACATAGTTCAAAATCTGGTTAAAACCCGCTGTGGACAGAGCCCACCACAGGGACCAGTAGAAAAGGCGCTTGGAGGAGTAGCATTCCTTCAGATCCTGGAACCACTGCGTCAGGCTTCTCAAGACCACCTTTCCGGGCTCCGGGTTGCTCCGCTGGCTGCTCTCCTGATAACCGGCCGTGGGGAGCGGCTCCTGGTGCGGTGCTTTGTGGTCCTCGTGACCCCCCTCGAGGACGGCGTCCTGTCCTGATGGCTTTTCCAGAGCTTCTTTGTTGGGTGTTGCGTGGAAAAACATGCTCTTCTTGGGCATCGGTAGAAAAAGGGAGACTAAGAGGGCCACGGAGACAGAGGCCAGGGAGATGACATTGAGGTAAAAGTACGACACGTTTGCCAGGGACACCAAGAGCTGGGCCAGCACGGAGGCTGCGGTGTAGGCCACCAGCGTGACACTCCGACAGTAGCTGCTCACCTTCTGGTAGTGCTCCGGGCTGACCACACTGTAGATGTAGGCGTAGTAGGCTACCTCGGTGGCAGAGACTATCCCAAAGACAAACTCCATAACCTGCATGACCTTCACTCCTTGGCCAAACAAGAGCAACAGCCAGGTGGCCACGAAGCTCACCCCTTGAATGACGATGACTGGCTTGTAGCGGGCGTAATCCGTGAGGATGAACACAGGGAGAAGCAGCGCCAGGTAGGAGTAGGTCCAAACAGGGAGGACCTCGTTCGTGATCTGTAAAGTTGACACACAGTGTGACTGGGAAATATCTCTGAGGGACACGTGGATCGTGTCTCAAACTCACCTCTGGGAAGATAGTCTGCAGAGTATGGGAAAACACGATAGGAATTTGATTTCCAAGGAGGACACACGAGTCCCCTTCCCCATTGGAAGCAAACAATTTAAGAAAAAATTTAAAAGGAGAAGCCAGGTGCTGGTGGCTCGTGCCTGTAATCCTACTCAGGAGGCTGAGATTTGAGGGCCATGGGCAGGCCAATCCGTGAGACTCTTATCTCCAATGAACCACCTGGAAGTGGAGGTGTGCATTAAGTGGAAGAGTGCTAGCCTTGAACAAAAAGACCAGGGTCAGTGCCCATGCCCTGAGTTTAAGCCCCAGCGCCAACATTCCCTCCCGCCCCCCAAAAAACTAAAGAAAACAAAAAATCTACAACCGATTCACATAGAAGAATGCATGATTTGAACTACATGTTACCTTTAAATAGTATGTACAATGGTATTAAATGATTACAAAACTTTTCAGGTATTTCTGAGATTTCCAGGTTCTTAGAAACATCATTCCTTTCTTGTTCACAGAGTAATAATATTAGAAGAAATGTTTACCGTGCAAGAAGCCTAGAACTATCTAGATCCATTGCTGTGTCCAAGTTCTGCCCCTCCAGAGTTGGAGTGAACTCACACAACGGTGGCAATGAGGGGTAGCCAAGTAATGCTGTCCACTTTTCTTCTTGCACAAATTTACCAGACTCCACAAATCTTCCCTGCCCCACGATTTCTATTGATATGTTAGTGCTTCATGTAACTTGGCCTCAGTACAGCTTATGGTTTGATAGTCAGCCATTTTCTTAGTTAGAAAGGATGGAAAGAGGTTGTTGGCCTTTGGTGCAACATGCCTGCCACTTCTCAAACCACTGAAGTTCTCTTCAGTGTTGCTATCTGGATCCTGTGAGGTAGAAGAATGCAGGAGGCACAGAACTGAGCTGCAGCTTTGAGGGAGGCTCTATTCCCATGTCTGAGGTCCTCACAGAAGTGGACCCCAGAGGCTGTGTTGAGCTGATCTTGGAGTCATGTCTGTCTACCCTACATTGCCTTAATCATGGCACCCTTCAGCCTGAGACACTCGAAGCAGCCGTCCATGTGTGGTTTTGGAGAAGGAGCTTGCCTTTCTGTGTTTGGTTTGTACGCATCCTAACTTACCTCGGTGCTGGTCAGGTTTTTACTTGGTCCAGCCAGATATGGGATCAAGAATGGCTCTGAAGGCCTCATCATGGAGAAGAAGCCAAACAGGCAGAGGATCACCGTTGGATAAATCCAGGAATTGCTTCGTGAAGTTTGGAAACAATCCATGGCTGATCAAATAGAAACAAAGCAAAAAAAAAATGCTGTGATGTTTGCAATGATTTCTACCTGTTTTATGAAAGGATAATGTTTTAATTAACCACTCACAGATATTTCTGAGTGAGCCAGACAAACCTTCCTTGGTCAATGGACTTACTTTATTATGGAGGAAGTCACATCTTTGCAATATTTTCCATTACAAGCATGATTATAAGTAGTTACTAGTGAATGATAAGCAATGGGCATAAGTCAAATATTAGTCAATGGATTACCAGTGTACACATGAATGGTAAAGTACTTCTTTAACACAGATTGGAGTCATCAAAACTTCTATTACCTGCCCATTCCATCTGGCACTGACTCTTTAACTCTTTAGCACATGAAATGACATTTGTTTGTTTTTCACATTCATATATTATCCCTGAAGCTTTGTAATAACTACAGACCCAGGTGAATATACAGGAGATCCAAGAGTTAGGTTCAAACCACATGGTCACAATTTCAATCAAGTTCTCCCTAACTCCCATTGGATCCTTTCTTTCATTCTACTTCTCCCTTTACTGCAACTGTTAACCTATTGATGACCTCTCTTCACAAGGAAAAAAGAAAATATTTTTTTATTTTTGGTTGGTCATGGGGCTTGAACTCAGAGCCTGGGTGCTGTCCTTGAGCTTTTTTGCTCAAGACTAGCACTCTACCACTTTGAGCCACAGCTCTACTTCCAGGTTTTTGAGTGGCTCACTGGAGGTAAGAGTCTTGTGGACTTTCTTGTCCAGGTGAGCTTTGAACTATAATCTCAGATCTCAGCCTCCTGAGTAGCTGAGATTACAGGCATGAGCCACTAGTACCCAGCTAAGAGAATGCTTTTATGAATATATACATACAAGATATGATGGCTTAATATATAGGATTCCCAAAGGCAGCCTGAGAGATGAACAGGACACTTGTATCAGGAGAGCAAATTACCTGGGTGGAATTCCAGGGATTCTTTGTCTTGGGCCTCCCTATACTTGTAAAAGGAATTCTGGATAGTGACAAAGTTCTTCTCAAGTTAAAACAAGGTAAAGGCTGTTTCTGTTTATGTCAAGGAAGCCTTAGGTTAAGCAGTTCAGAGATCACTTCCACTGGACCTTGGGGTTGATTACCAGTCATAATGAGCTATGATGACAAAACAGAAATTCTGCCAAGGGCAAAGTGGAGCCGAGCCTCCTCTACTTTCTTCCTCAGTCCAGAAACCACGTTTCTCTCATTCCTTAAAAACTACTCGATTCACTGCAGGGGGTGGGGCTCCTGCAGGGGGTGGGGCTCCTTTTTTGTTATTATTGTTACTCTGGACCTTAAGTTTGCTCCTCTTGCTTACATGGTGCTCTGCTGCTTGAGCAATGCCTCCAGCATTGGTATTTTTTGCTGGTTATGTTGAAGATGGGAATCTCTAGACTTCTCAGGCTGGCCTCAAACTCTGATCCTCCAGTTCTGTGAAACTCCTGAATACCTAGGTTATGGGTGTGAGCTGCTAGTGTTCAGCTTCTTTTTGTGGTTATTAATGGTTATAAAGGAAAAAGTATCTTGATTAGCCAATTACAATGGTTTAATCATCTATTGAAAGGTGCTCTCAATGAGGTGGCATCTGCTGCCTGTTTCTGGAACATTCTGTCCATCTATGCTGACCCTGGATCTGCTCACTAACTTCATCTTCCGGATGCATCTCAGAGACCTAGGGTTGTACCCAAGAACCCTGGGCTGCTAAAGTCCCCCAGAATTATTCACTTCACTGTCACTTTATGGTTCTAATCCTACTGCCTGAGTAGGGTGAGTTGGGAAAGTCGAGCAGAAAACTATCGTCTAATATATGCCTGTGAACAACACACCTAAGGTAGAGTCTGGTTCTCTGCTTTATCCTGATTGTGGAGGACAGTACCTGTTGCATAGTAAATCCTGGAGGACGATGCTGGATGAACAATTACAGCTTTCTGGGTCATGGGTGGGCTCAGAGAAGGAGAGGTGTCAGACACAGGAAAAAAATTACAAGAGTATTAGACTCTAATAGAATATTGCTTCTACTAGACTTGGGAGCAGTTAATAGAAGGAAACGAGAGTGAAATCCCAGAGTAAGAGCACACACACCTTCTGCATGGTGTTCTCAAGCTTACTTCACTTGCTAGTTGCATCAGTGAGAGGCCAGGAGTCTTCAACCCTTCAAGTACCTTGAAGGTAGGATAGCACACTGGGTTCTGACAAGATCACTAGTTCTCCCACTGGGAATCTAATAGATAAACATCTCACTAATACATGAAAATCACTAAGCAATGGTCAAACAGCTTCAATTTCAATCTCATCACTGACGTGCAATGATTCTCTGTGGTCATGAATGACTGTGAGCTGAGTTCTAGGCATACTGGTTTTCTTAGTGAGACTCTTGACTCTAAAACACACATACATACACACACACCCTTACACAAATGCACAACCATTTATAATAAAAATAATGAAGAAAAAAGTACACACTCAATTATTTCCTATACTTTTGACACTGGTAAATTTAATTTTAAATCATTTTTTAACTGATAAATTCAATACTGACCTTACTTTATAGAAATAAAAAAGGGCAGAAGCAATAAGAAGATCTATACTGGTTTTCACATTAGTGCTTGGATTCACTTTTTCTTTTTCTTTTTTTTTTTTTTGCCGGTCATGGGGCTGAACTCTGGGTCTGGGTGCTGTCCCCCCCAGCTCTTCAGCTCAAGGCTAGTGCTCTACCACTGGAGCCACAGTGCCACTTCCGGCTTTTTCTGTTTATGTGGTGCTGAGGAATCGAACCCAGGGCCTCATGCATGCAAGGCAAGCGCTCTACCACTGAGCTACCTTCCCAGCCCATGGATTCAGTTTTTCTAATTCCAACTTTGCTCATTTTTTTCCTCTTTCCCTGTGATGAGAAAGCTGAGCTAGAACCTCAAATTTCCGACTCCAGGTTATTTTAGGAGAGCATTTTTCAAACTGTAGTATAAAAAAATAGTGGGCTGTAAGCAGGATTTAAAAAAATCATACCAAGTCTACTACATATCTAAATATAGCTGCAGCATAAGATGAGGTTTTCTCCTCGTAAGTTTTTTTTTTTTTTGGGTCCAGTCATGGGGCCTGAACTCTGGGCCTGGGCGCTGTCCCTCAGCTGTTCAGCTCCAGGCTAGCACTCTACCACTTGAGCCATAGCACCACTTCCGGCTTTTTTTTCTGCTTATGTGGTGCTGAGGAATCGAACCCAGGGCCTCATGCATGCAAGGCAAGCACTCTACCACTGAGCCCTCCTCATAACTTTTGTTTGCATTAACAACATGTAAATCTATCTATCTATATATAGAATAGATATAGGATCATAACATACATTAACTTACTGTGGGGCATGGTCAACTCATTACTAAGGGAAGAAGAGTAAATACGCACACATGTTCCTAGAAGCACACTCTGTGAATGTCATCTCCCGACTACATGTGGGTGGTTGGAAGGGCCACTGGCTCCTCAGTTCTCCTGGGAATTAACTGTGCTGTTACCATTTTCCCTTTCATCATTCTGTTTTGATGCTCTCCTACCATCCCCTCCTAAAAGTTCTCTGAACTTCCCCTCCCTTGTCTTGAAGTGATGTGAATTGGATTCATTTTCTGAGCTTATGGATAGATTTCTCCGAGCTCACACTTCTGAAAGCAAATTTGATCTTCCTTCATTTCCTGTGTTCTCAAAAAAATGGATGATCTTTAGCTCCATTGCCATTTTTCTTTTTGGTGGTACTACAGTTTGAACTCAGGGCCTTGTGGTTGCTAGGTGGGTTGATTTGAGTCATATCCCTAGTCCTCTATTACCATTAAAAAATAAAATAAAGGTTCATGCATACTGTGGCAGTAGATATACAAGAAAAAGAAGAAGAAGAAGAAATTCCCTAAGTAAATGTCAGGCGCATGATTTGAAACATTTGACAAATATCCTGGCAGTGAAGACCTCAGAAGTGGAAGCAATAAGGAAATTGTAATTTATTCTCTGCTCTTTTTAGCGGAGACCTGGAACAGCTCAATGTGTGGCACATCTCACACTGGTGGATGGGGACATCTGTGTAGGATAGACAGCACAGTGGATCAGAGGAGATGTGAACATGGAGCCCCACCCCTTGTTCCCAGCCCATAGTGGGTAAGATGAGACCACAGGGCTTCTCTGCTTGCCAGTAGAGGAAAGAGCACCCAATATGGCGCTAATGATTAATTTGGGGTGATGGCTCACAGAACTTGGGGAAAAAAAGTTTACTGGTTTAAGGAGGTTATCTATCCAGTGTGATGAATGGATAGGGTAAGAGTGGGGATTAAGAACTTTGGTACTCTTTCCGGGTGCTAGCCTGCCAGCACCTCAAGGTCTTCAGCAATCCAGAAGCTCATTAATACTTCCAGTTCAAGAGCTTTTCCAGTTTGACCGACTCTCCCTGGAGGTGGGTGGGGTCTAAAGCTCTAATCCTACAACCCCTGACCACTCTGGAGTTTACTTAGATAAGTAAGCTCAGTAGGCTTCACATTAGAGTACGTTTACTTTTTTATATTAATAAGTTTTTTTTTAATTGTGAAAATACCAGAGGGTTTACAGTTACATGAGCAAGGTAATGAGTACATTTCTCATCAAGCATTGTTGCCTCCTCCTTTGTTTCTGACATTTCTACCCAGACCAAAGAGGGAGGACTTCCTTTTGTGTCCCAGTGGAAGGCTTGTGATTGGTGCAAACAGTCCACCATCTGCCCAAAGGGCTTCTCTGACTGGTGGCAGGGACTGTGCTGTGATTGGTGGAATGATTCCTTCATTTGCATGGGAGGGCTGCCAAAACTGCTACAGGCACCCTTCTTACACCATTCTCTGGCTATCCAAGCACACTGTGTGGCTGGCTCACTGCCAGTCAGCCAACAGACAACCTCCAGTGCTTTCCATGTTGTTTTACCATTAGGTTCAATATAACTTTCTCTTGAGTGATCTTTCATGCTTGGTTTTGATCTTCATCATCAAGTAGCTGAGCCAGTAACATGAAGAAAGAAAGAAGAGAAGAAATAGCAGCAGAGGAGAGATCAGTAAAGCTATAATACACAACATCTCATAACCAGTATAATGGCTAAGTACCAAAGGGTGAACATACCAAAAGCTGGTCAAGTTTTTCAAACACTGAATGTTCACACGCTGCTTGTTAGATGGCAGAAGGGGTAGCAACTCTTTGGACAATCACTTGACAATCTATCTCAAGAAAGTTCTTAATTTTATGATAGTGAAAAATTGAGAAGCAAACTTAAGTGTCCTTTAAATAGGAAAACAAATACATGAAATATAGGACAATGTGTTGTATTTATAAAACACAATACACCAGTCAAAACACTTGGATGACTATCAGAGGCATGGCATTTCCAAAGAATGCATACATGAAAGTGTATAGAAAGTCCTAAAGCAAGCAATACTAATCTGTAGTGATAGAAAGTGGATCAGTAGTTGTAGAGGATGGAAGACAGGGAAGGAATTGAGCAAGAGAGCACAAAGAGAAATTTCGGAGGTGATAAAAATACCCTATAACTTGATTGTGGTGATGGTTACAAAAACTTCGTCCAAACTCATGTACAGCACACTTATACTGCACATTTCATTACATGTGAACCATATCTCAGCAAAAACAATGTGACACACGGAGTAAAATAAATCTCAAATATTATGCTTGGTAAAAGATTTCACACAATACACAAAAAGGACATACAATCTGATTTCATTTAAACCAAGCCCCAAAGCAAACAAAAATATAGTACTTCATGGTGATAGAAATCAAAACTGTGTCACTTCTGAGGTGAGGGTTGAAGAAAGATTACATGAGAGAACTTTCAGGGTTCCTAAGCATCCATTGTCTTGATGAGTGTATACAATTACAAACACTCTAACTTAAAGACAATACGTTATATCATATGTAAATATACATACGTTCAAGGGTATACATTCCTCCCTCCCATCCAAAGCACTTTACTACGTGCAATCCTCCACAGCCCTGGGCTTGTATTATAGATGCAATGATTTAAGGTTATTCCAAATCTCACATCAGAGCAAGTCTCCTATGTAAACATACAACAGAATAGGATTATGGAACTTGGATCTGTCTCAGGAACTTTAGAATGGAAACTGTACTCATACTTCAAGGCTAGGACAGGTCAACAACCCTTGTACATCTGGACATATAGAACCTTCTTCAGATTAATTCAGATAGAATCAGTGACTTTCCTTCCACGCTTGATGCAATCATTTTCTAGAACCAGGGCTAGCCTTATATCCAACTTCTTCTTACTCTGCTGCCCCAAGCTTCAAATCCCAGTCACAATACCCCTTTCTCTTATAGAAGTCTCTCCTCCTACAGAACCAACCTCCCACCCATCTAGATGGATTACCACCCTGTGGCCTACATGCTTCCACCTCACCCTCTTTGAAAATCTTGCTAGACAAAGCAAATATCTAGGGTAAGATCTTTCTGAAACACCAATGATTAGAAAGGTATGCAAATAAAAAAGGCAAAACAAAAGAAAACCACCACAACAACACTACCTCCTGAATATTAGTATTAAAATAATCGAACTTAGTTTTTCTCAAAGTTGACACTAAGTGACTTAGATTCTTAGAAAACCTCAGGAAGAGTCCCAAACCCACTGATAATCTTATATATCAAACCTGTCCTCTCCACTCCCCTGCATCCCCCGCCAACTCTTAGCTTCAATGAAGCACCACATAACTTCAAAAGGTGTGAAATTGGCCCAGCTGTTCAATAAACAGGCAAGAACAGTTTTGCGTTTGGTCAAAACTACTGAAAATATGGCTGCAGATCTGAGGATCGTGGTTCACAACCAGCCCTGGTAGGAAGTCTGTGAGACTCTTATCTCCAATTAGCTGCCAAAAAGCCAGATGTAAAGCTGTGGCTCAGGTGGTAGAGTGCTAACCTTGAGCACAAAAGCTTAGAGACAGTGCCTAGGCCCTGAGTTCAAGCCCCAGCATTGGAACCAAACTAAACCAAACAAACAAAAAAATCCCAACCTACCTAGCCACAGACATGCAGCTGGACATATATATCAGGTCAAAGGTGGGTTGGGAGGTGGGATAAATTTGTGCTCTAACCAAAATCCATAGGATTGTCCAAGCTACTTTATCACTCTCTAACTGTAAAAACTGTGAAATAATGCATATTTGCATATCTGCAGACAAAAACCATTGAAGAGATAATACTCTTTCTCCTCCCCACGGAAAATGAGCTTCAATATCCCCAGTCTATATTTTATTACTCAACATTCAACATTCTTGTTCCAGAAATGTACCCATTCTTTGGATTCTCCTTCCATCTCTTGTATCGGATTGCTCATTAGTGAGTTAAATAAACCTAGAGCACATTTATTTTCATATCTCATGAGCGTTATGGCTTTCCCCTTTTCTGGATATTGTCTTTAAATCCTGGTTACCATTATCAGGCCACTAGCCTCCCATTTATTACTCTGAGTCCAAATGTTTGCTCCTAGTTTTAAATGATCAAGACTATTCTTCCTGAAAAATTTCCCAGGTTTGGGTTTTCAATGGCTGATCTCCTGCGGTTTAGTGAAAACTTGATCTTGGAGTCTATGGCTTTATGTTCCTCCAAGTTCCATTACTGCTTAGGTCACATCAGGTATACAACTTTCCCTATCTCTTAAAGTACAGATGACCACTGCTACATCTTAAGGCAGTTTCACAAGGGCTCAGTCTAATTCTTGGCACCTAACAGGTGTCCAGTAAACTTTATTTCTCATTGCTTCTCATGCAAGCACATATTACAGATTCAATCAGGACTAATTAATTCTTGATCTAGGGATGGTACTTTCAGAAAAATACATGGTAGGTGCAGCAGACCAAGAAATCATCTTTGATCTATACTTGTTAAATAAAAAAATGTAATACAGGGCTTTTGTTTGAGATGAAACTCCTTCAGTAGGCTCCCATAGACCAGGTTAAAAATCAAGATGGAGTCACGCCAAAGTTCCCGGTCATCAAGCTAAAACAAAGCTATTTATAAGAAAGAAAAAGGGGCTGGGAAGGTTGCTCAGTGGTAGAGTGCTTGCCTTGCATTCATGAGGTCCTGGCTTTGATTCCTCAGCACAATATAAGCAGAAAGAGCCAGAAGTGGCGCTGAGGCTCAAGTGGTAGAGCACTAGCCTTGAGCTGAATTGCTGAGGGACAGCGCCCAGGCCCCGAGTTCAGGCCCCACAACCAACAAAAAAGAAAGAAAAAATTCCTCTTTACCTTACTCTAAAGAATTCTAACTGAAATAACCTGATGTTAATTACTTAAGTTATTTCCCCATTCTTCTATTGTTTTCCACCTCCTAAAGATGAGTAACTTTAAAATAACGTGTGTGTATGTGTACAGTGACTCTACTTTATGGAATGAAGTCTTATCCCATTCTAGGTCTAAAAAGAAATCCAATTGAGATCATTACACAAAATCGCTGAAAACTCACCCTTGAACTGCATTTTCCAACACACAAGATGTTTGTTGGCAAAAGTGACTGAACAAAAGCTTCACTTGTGTCCAGTTTGACTACTAAAAGAGTATGGAGCCGGGCGCCGGTGGCTCACGCCTGTCATCCTAGCTACTCAGGAGGCTGAGATCTGAGGATCACGGTTCAAAGCCAGCCCGGGCAGGAAAGTCCATGAGACTCTGATCTCCAATAAACCACTAGAAAGCCGGAAGTGGCGCTGTGGCTCAAGTGGTAGAGCACTAGCCTTCAGCTGAAGAGCTGAGGGACAGCACCCAAGCCCAGAGTTCAAGACCCACAACCGACCAAAAACAAAAAATTATTAAAAAATTATTAAAAGAGTTTGGAGAAAAATGTCTTTGGGAAGTTAGTTTGGCCTATTTACAGATAGATGTATGTATATGTATATATGTATGTGCATGTGTGTGTGTATATATACATATGATGCAAAGGTGCCTTTGGAGACGCGAATGTGTCGGACCCTGGGCCGGAGAAACCTTCCCGACGTGTAGGTTTCGGCAACGCGATCTGCTCCGCTTCCACTCCTGAAGTGTTCGGCGCCCCGCGCGCATCCACAGCAGAGCCGGCTCCGCCCTGACCCCGCCGCGGACGCCCTGGGCTCGCGGTGCCCGGCGGGGGTGCCCGGCACGGGTGCCCGGCAGCGGTGCCGGGCGCAGGCTCGGCTGGCTTTCCTCCCCATCCATGCGGGGCCTCGCGTCGCCGGCTCCGACCTGACCCCGCCCGGACCCCCAGGGCACCCGCGTCGGGACTGAAGTTGGGATCCGATCCCAACGCTGCTTTCCAGTGCGACCTCGGCGAACACCTGGGCGCGCGGCTCCCCGGGCTCTGCGTTCCGGATGGACGGCTGCGGAGCGCGGCGCGGGCGGAGCGCGGCG